GGTGACTGCTTGTGGGGTGGCTGGAGAAACATAGTGGGAACATGCTAAGTGAGGGAGAGGTGGGTAACAATCTAGGAAAGATCTTTCGCCTGAAGAAATATAACTGATCTTTTGCCACTCCTGTAAAGAAGGCGGTAACAGTGCTCTTGTTTTTAAGCAAGATCAATTTTTACCAGTCTGGTTATAGAAAACCTTTAAGTCAATCCTGAGCAATGGAGAGTGGAAAAACCAGAGGCCCCCAAAACAGCTTTGACTTTTGGAGCATGGTGTGGTGTTTTGTCCGTTAGGAGAGATTGTCTCATTTGTGTAGATCCCCTTTGAGAAAACCTGCTGAAAACATTCAACATCTTGCTCTGATCTTCCAACTACCTCTAGGACTTCCAGCTGGAAGCTACAGAAGTGTACAGCAAAGTGGCCAAGCAGCTGGTGAAGCAGCAGAAGTACAGCGAGATCCGGCAGCTCCTGAAGTGTGTCAATGAATCTGGAGTGGCAGCAAAAAATGATGGGGATAACATTATCCTGAACTGTCTAAACGAGTTCAAAAACATTCCAGCTGAGGTAATTCTAGCCTGCATTGTGTCTCTTTTGAAGTAAAAAGAGTCTATATCAATTCAGGCTACATGAAATCTGGTGCCTATACTGCTCTTTTAGTGAGTCCTTCAGATGTTCTGGCTCCGTACCACAGGCATTGTTTAAAGGTTTGCCTTGTACAAGGTACTCTGAGAGGAAATAATAAGTAGCTATAGCACACTCCTACCCTGCMCTTCCCAAATGGATACCCATGGTGGAGAGAGAACATTTACTTCACAAGATCGTGCCAAAGGCTGCTGATTGCAGCACGTGCTCCCATCAGTGAGGTTTCCCTGGCTAACATACCGGATGTCTGCAGGCAGAAACCTCCTGCCTCCATAGGAACCAATTTTGTGATTCCTTGTGCTTACCACAGTGTTTTTCCCGTGCCGGTGAAGGAAGGAAATGCACTCCACTAGTTCTGTTAATCAGGTTAGGGGATGCAGTCCACTTCTTGGGTCAGGGTGGGCCATGACGTAACTCCTGCCGGGGTACAGAGAACCTACAAATTCATTTCATGCCACACAAGCCATGTCCATGAGAGACTSCCAGGCTCATAGAGTTCTCTAGGGATACCACACAGACATGGCAGAAGAAGCTGTGGGTAAAGGGAAAAATTGGATTTTTTTTTTTTTTTGTTGTTTTCTACATCTGCAACCCTCACAGCTGGGACCTGCAGTCTAAGCAGTCTAAGCACCTGTTGTGGTCTCAGGAGCCCTTCCTGTCCATAGGGGTTTGATCCCTGATGGGGTAGAAGTTTGCAGGCTATTATCACTTTAAATGTGAACACCTTTTCCCTTCTTTGCCTACAGGATCTTGATAATCTGATTCAGGATATGGACAGTGATGAAAACAAGGTAAGTAAAAGCACAGTAGCAAGAGCTAAACAACCCAGTCTGCAGCTTGCAAGCTCTTTTTCACTCTCTTCCCTTTCATCCTCATGCATATAAGATTTTTAAAGGTTACTTCCTAAATTGTAGAAATCACAGTGAATTCCTCAAGGCCATGGTGACTGTGAAGCTGTGACATGCAGGTACCAGTTGGTACTATCYCTATTAGTTCCTTTGTAATTAATGCACAAGATAGGATTCCTGGTATTAATTTCATGGTCCTACAGTAAAGGAGTTTCTACAAGACACAAACTTAATAAAATACACCTGTCTACCCACCTTTTTCATTGGGATCTGCTTCTTGCCATGCTGTTTGGGAATGTAGTATTACTACCTTGTACGACACTGTTCTGAACTGGGTATTTCTTTAAGTTTATCCAGTTAGTTTGCTCCAGCTTTGTGCCCAAGCTGTGCCTGCCTCTCGTGTTTCAGATCCAGGCCTACACGATGTGCCACAAGCTGCGTTCTGCGTACCTGGTGTCGGTGAGGCAGGAGAAGGCRCGCGCTGTGCAGCTCGTCCAGCACGTGCGGCAGCTGGCCGAGAGCAGCGGCGATGACGTGGTCAGGGCCATCTGTGCCCAGTGGCTCTCAGTGCACCAGCCCAAGGTGAGAAATCGGCTCCCCCAGGGCACTAGGAAGTGATATATAATGGACATTCACCTTTATACTGAAGGAGAAGGCTTCAAGACAACTCAAACGTTTCTGGTTCAGCACTCTCTTGGTAAAATGCAACTCTGTTGACTGATGTTGCTGGTGAATGGATGCTGCTAATATGCCTCTGGTGAAAGGAAGGGAACTAAATTACAAGTGCCAGTCCTGTATTTTGACAGTCACTACCTCAGGGTGTTTTTTGGCTCTCTTTTCGATGGGGGAGGGGGGCAGTTTCAAACTGAACAAGGAAGGATTTAGATGTATGGAAGAGAGCACTTCTGTTTCTGGCTTTAGGTTTTTGGGTTTTGTTGATTTCTAATTTTGGGGGGGGGTTGATATTTTTTGAAAAGCAGTGAAGTTAACAATATGTGTTTTATTTTTAATCCAGAAAACATATGTAGAGAGGACAGAAAAATTTTATCAACTTGATGTAGCCTAGAGTATAAAATTTTTGTCGTGTTTCTTGTAAAATTTTCAAGATTGGGGAGTTCTTCTGTTACAAAGACTAAAACTCAGAGAATTTTTAAGCTTCTATACAAACCATTGCTACTTCTTTTTTACCCCCACTCCCCACTAGTACAATGTACCCAGTTTTTTAGTTTGTTTGAAAAGGTAGGAACTGATTCTTTATGGCAGGTTTRTACTTACCAGTCACACTGTGTGATGTGTGCCATAGCTGTGGCACTTGGGCTAGTGCCARCTAGATGAAGTTATAAAGGGCATATTCTGTAAGGGGAGTACAAAGGGAAAATAAGCCTTTAAAATAGTTGAAAAATCACGTGCCTCTTTCTTTACTAAGGTAATACCCAGTAAATTGTTGTGATGCAGCTTTGTGACTGAATAGTTGACAGTAAACTTCCAGTTTTTCATCAGGTATATAACAAAGAATATGGATAGAGCAAGCTGTGGCAAAATTAAACAGGTGATCTGTATCCCTGTCACACAGGGACGCATGTATTTATTACCAGGATAATCTGTTCCTGTCAAGTACAATAGAACACCAAACTGGACATATCCTGTATTGATGGGTTCTGCTCTGGAAGTGTTAGGTTAATCAGTAAGGCAGTGTTCAGGCATGATGAATGTAGCTGCTTCTCTGCAACTAGTATTGGGACATTAGAAATTGGCAGAAATGTAGTAGACAGCAGTAGGACCTTCAGAAAAAAGAACAAAACATGATGTTCCACAAAAATTTGGATTTGCTGTTTACATATATTTCAGCATAAGAAGTAGGAAAACGAATTCACTTTCTTTGTTAAAAAGTTGTTTACGACAAAAAAACTTCAGGTTTTCTGAAGTGTAATGTAATTGTAAATAGTTTTAATACATAAAGTAATTGAGACTGTCAAGTAAGAGTTTTGCACTATCCCCACTCTCACTGTAATGAAAGAACAGAATTCCACGGTGTTGGAAAGGATTTGGTCCATCTTCTTCAGAGTTTCAAGAGCTGACACAAATTTCTCTCTTTGGAGGTGCTGTGCTCTGCTCTCTAGAGCAATCAGAAATGACCACATGTAGCTTTCAGAATCCCCTGACCACAGATTTGCATTATCTCATTAGTGAGCAGTACTAATGAAAGCTTTTGTTTCCTTGGCCAGACTAACCTAGCTTTCCATCAGCTTACAACCATCAGGCTAATCCCAAAACGTGACACTACCTATGTCTTCAGTTGTGTTTAAATCTCTGATTATGGGGAGGAAATTTTACTGTTTGTGGTATCCAGATCTGCATTGCTGTAACACCCMCTGTTCTGCTCGAGTTTATTCACCTGCAGAGAGCATAGAGAGTGGAGTTTGCCATGCAGACCCATCAGTTCCATACCTGCCTTTCTTCCTGACCTCTTTGCACTGTACCTGATGCACTTTATATAGTGTTTGTTGTAATTTGATGTTCTTAACCTGGAATCGTAGGGATGTTTCTTGTACCAGCAGAACTGGAATTTTGATCCTGACTAATTACCTTGTGTCATAAATAGTGCAATTATCAAGGAGCTTTGAATTTTTGAGCAGCAAAAAGGGATTGAATACTGCCAGTTTAAAAGTTTAATTTCTCTATTACTGACAAAGGTTTGTTTACAATTAAAAAAAAAAAGGAATAAAGTATTATGACTGTTAATGTATCTTCTGTTTTCTTTTTATCTCAGAGTTAGGAGTCTCTTCCTAGATCTGCATCTTGCTTTTGGCTATGCTTAGCAGAGATTTAATTAGAAAGGGGAATAATAGTTCTATCATGTGAGATTTATCTGTTACAGTGTTTTCAACATTTAGATCAATTGGAMTGCCACATCTTTCAAAGTCCCTCCAGCAGCTAGGTAGCCTAGGTAGTTCAGCCTTGTGCGTGTACTCAGTAATCCTCTTTAGGGAGCTTTGCAAGTTAATCTAACTCTCCCTTACAAGCCTTCCTTTGGGACAGCTAAATGAGCTTTAGTTTCCTCATTTTTTATGGATCAGCTGAGAGGTGTAAATTACTTGCTCAAGGTCAGAAAGAGTGGGTGTCTATGGAAATGTTTTTTAATGTCTTATGTTAAAGCTACAGTCAGATTTGAGAAGAGCAAGGGCAAAAATATTTCACACTAGGGACACTTGTCTGCTTTTTTTAAAATGGTTTCTCTTGCTCCTGAAAGCCACTTTCAAGATCAGAGAAAGCAAACCAAGCCTCCAGTGCTAGGTAGCATTCGACTGCTACCTTGTAGTTGTGAATTTAGCTTCATAGTTGGGATGACACATAAAGAGAGAGGAAAAAAAAAGATAGAGGGATAAGGAGAAACACAAGGGGATTTTAAAAAATGTTACCTGAACTGAGTTCTCTACTATTAGTGAGGCAGGTGCAGATAACAGCAACGCCCAAGTAAACTGATTTAACATTTCTGAAAGAAGATACAGTCTCCCGTTGTAAAAGGAAAATGGCTTTATTTAGTATTGCTCAGAGGTAGCACAGAACTGATCTGCATAGATAGCATCCAGACAGAAAGAATTAAAATTAGCATTTGTTTTCCAAAACTGGCAGTTGGTCACAGTGACTGGATCATATGCAAGTCCAAAAACTTCCAGACTTTTTTTCAGATGCAGAAGATAATCCTATGAGCTGTGGCACTCTGTTTCTGACTGCTAAACTCTTACAGAAATAATCCCTGATTATGGATCACACTCTAGCAATTTGCACTCAAGTTGCACTGGAGTTCCAAGGGAGCAGTCCCACTGCTGTGTGGCCTGAGGCAGCTGTCTTGTGAAGTGCAAGCTGTGTGGTCCTGCATGGGCATGCTGGCACCCTTGGTAACTGCTGTGCAGACAAATCCAAGGATTTCTGTGCAAGTCTTACTTTCCTGTCCGGTAGTCAGCTTGACCATAATACCAAGATAGTCCCACCTCCTGCTYCAGCTATCTAGCCCTAGGGAGTTTGGTGTCATTTAAGTCTCAGCTGAAGTTGTTTAATAGGTTTTTAACAGGGCTGAAATTTTCTTTATTCATTCTACTCTATTTTCTAGGTTCTAAAGTAATTTAAAGTGCAGGTGGGGGATTTACTGTGACAACTTTTACACCATCTTTGCTCAGTGCTTCACAGGAGAGATATTGATTCTTTTAATAACTTGGCTCTGCAAAATTGCAGCACTCCTGCAGTTCTTAACCTTCTAGTCACCTACACCAAAAGCTGGTTCTCAGAAGATTTGCCAACCTGCAGTTAACATAATGCGATCAGTGGGCATTTAGGGTCTGATATCTCAGTGGCTAGGGTCCAGCTTCTTACAGAGCATGCAGAAAAAAGTGATTCCACTTAAAAACTTTACCTAATGCTTGGCACAGAAAGGCCAGCACCTGTTTTTGTGTGTTTGAGAACATTTGTATTGCCTTACTTGCCAGAAAATCTAATATCCTAAAATACTTTCACTCTGCCAGTTCAAAGGGTAGGAACTGAAGGAAACCTCATAGATCACAAGTTAGGAGTCCTACCTTTTTACTATTGCTTTTAGGAAAAACATCAACCTAACTTTATGTAAGGTAATTCATTGTTACTTTATAATCTAAATCTAAGACTGCAACCTCCCTTTCTATTCTAAAGCCAGAGAACCATAGCCTTGAGCTGCTGTGTGAGATACCAAGCAGGTTGCTCCCTGCATTAGTGCTCTAATTCTCCAGCTAAGAARAGGTACTGATTCTTGGGGCTTACAAATCTCAATACTTAAGTGTAATACTCCAGAAATTCGAATTAGGTTGTGCCCACAGAGCCGTCCTTAGGGCAGCTGAAGTCTCGGCATTTGACTCTTGAGGTCTCCTAGCAGCTCTTCCCTAGRGAAGCATCGCTGGGTCCAGCCAGGTACACTCTTGGTATTGCTCAGTCCCACTGGATGCCAAGGAGCTCGCAGCTCACGCTCCACAGCTTCTTTGCCGTCTCRTCATCCCGGCCACGTGGAGATACGTATGCTGGCTGGCAATCACTGTAAGAGGAACATTCTTTTTATTCTTTCATGTCAAAGATCTCTATCTGCATTGGCACRCTGAAATATCTGTGTCAAGATCAGGGAGTTGCTCTCTATTATCTTAATTCAAGACCAGTTGAAGAACGGGGGAGGCTACCCAGCAAATGAACAAGGGTTGGTGCTAAGCCACCATCACTTGGAAGGACTTTTTTCCAACTAGCTAGGTCGGAGTATCTCCCAATGGCACCAAGAACTGGCAAGCAAGTCTAGTTCTAGCTGTCATCTCAACTCATAAAGAAACCTCTTTACTATACATTCTCACTAATACCACTAAAAAGGGTTATAGACTCTAATCAAGCTTCTTCAGGGACACATTTTCGAACAAACACAACAAAAAAGTAACTTAAACAGCCCTTCATTCAGAACTATTTATCCAACTGTATGCCCAAGAATAATAACACCATAGTAACCATGTATGGTTACCCCTTTTTCCATTATCCTCTAAACTGTGGCTCTTTTCTTGTCAGCTCCTGCAATCAGAAAGCACTGTCTGGCACAGAGGTCCTGTGTTCTCAGCTGTAATGCTAGATGTTGCAATAACTTGGGAGTTTAAGAGCAGAGAGGAAATGACATCTTGTAAGGTTTCCATTCAGCTCAGTGTTTCTAGGTGGAGTCTTTGACATTCCTGAAAYGACTGGTGGACTCCCACCTGTCTCACTGTGACATGCAAATTGTTTTCTTAATGTCTTCACTTGTGCTTTATATTCTATGGTCTGGAAAGTGAAAAGGATTCTAGGCTAGTCCAATGTAAATTGTGAATTAGTGTTGAAGCTACTTGTTTCCCACCTTGTCCAAAACTCCTCTTTTTTTTATGAGTTTAAATTTCACCAGGTTTCTGTACTCCAGCACATTAATACTACATTTTTACCCTGAGACAGACAGTCATCCAGGGAAGATTTAGATATCTATTTATATATTCAAGTCAGATTAAGATRGCACAAACTCCCAGATGAAGATCAGCCAGTGTCATTACAGAGACTAATCTGCTCACAAATCACAAGACGAAAGCTCTGCAAAGACACAGAAGTTTCAACAGCATCCATAGAGGGGAAGACACATTTTCATTTCATTCCCAAAAAACTGTATTGTTACAATGCTCTACACATAATGGGAAGCTGACAGACATATCTGCATGATTCTGTTCAAATGGCAGTCTTCAAATCTAGAATGATGATGATTTGGAACTGCTCTGAGCTGTGGTTTTGCTGATGGGAAAAGGCAGGACTACCTAAGTTCCTGGAGTGAAGTCAAAGAAATGAAGAAGTAACAGGGTTTGTAATGGGAGCTACACAAGATCATTTCCATGACAGCATGACAAGCATCTCAGCAGGAGTCCCTCCCATCTGGTGGGTCTGTCACACTGGAGGATAAAGTTATTTGGTCGCATGTCAGACCTGAAAATCTCACCTCCTGTCTCTGCAGCTCCATCAGCTCGCCCAGTCCCTGAGAGCACAGGCCCCTTCTGCTCTAATGGGGTAGAACTACAAAGAAAACTGATCTTCCCACAGTTGACTCAAGTGACCTCATTAACTAAACAGTTCTACTGAAAAGTGATTTTCCCAAGTGTTAGGCAGGTCGGGATTAGAGCTCTGAGCATGTGACAGCCATTCCTGCACTTTGAGTACATTAATATTTCTAGTACTAAAGACCTGCTATTGTGTGAAGTGTTGCMCAGGTCAGGTGTTTCTTCTAAGAGATTGCAACAGACCTGGAAGGGGTAATGCCCTAGTATTTGTCACCCTCAGTCTTATGAGACAGGCTCTTACCTGGTCCCTTCTTCATGAAGAATGCCAATAACTATCATATTCCCCAGCCAACAAGGTTGCCTTCCACAGAATATCACTTTGTTTGCACCTACCTGAAATACTGTCCTGTCACAGAGTCCAGCTCCTCAGCTACTGCACAGTAGATACTGGTCTGAGCTCCTTCACAAGGTGTCTTCAAGAAGAAGGAGAATATCTTCCACAGCCAAGTCATTACAAATGAGTGCCGGACCAGTTCAGAATAGACAGAGCCAGGATGAAGAGCGTTTGCTGTGACTTTGGTGCCTATGGCAAAATAAAGTAGTCCAGGACAAATCTGCATGGATCAAAGTGTCTTTGAAAATACGGTAATATACTCCTAAATTCTACCTGTAGATATTCTATAACTTAAAGGAGTAGTCCAGACTTGGATACAGAGAGTAAGTGAAGACCTCTGTAGTTACTGCTTGGTGGATGTGATGGATACACTTGACCTCTTAACCTAATCAGCAGTAGTTTGGTACAGGCTCCAAAGAAGGGAAAGGTCTGAGCCATAACTGGACCAAAACTCCTAGGAAACCCACAACGAGGCCCATGAGTATCTGTGCACATGAACTTGGAACACCCTACCACAAGTAGCACATGGCTTTTCCAATACTCTTTTATCCAGGAACAAATAAGGTTGTGGATGTGATGAGTCTCATGTGTACCTTTCCCATTKTATGCCATTTGACTACAAGCCAAGCACTCCATTCCACATGGAGTGGAATATTACAGCCTAAGTGAACCCTCTCTGAGCTCTCCCTGTCAGGTAATCTGACTGTATGGTGACAATCTTCTCTTGAGCTGGCTCCTCTCAATGTGGCTCTTCAAGGCAGAGACCTTTTACCAACAGCAGACCTTTGGATGAGTCCAACTGGAGCTCAGCTCAAGCTGCAACTGGACTGCATGGCAGATAACACTCCCTTTGAACAGGGATGCCTCTCCAAGGCTTAAGACTTGTTACCTGAGACTAAGAGAGCCTTCCTTAGTCAAGGCAGAGAGACCCTTTGCTTGCAACAAATCCTTGGTAAGTGACTGATTGCTGAATTAGCACTGAGGAAGCATTACTAGTCCATATAGCTACTTAAAAATAATTGTTATAAACTTTGTATAGATAATTCCATTAAACATAAATCATCCAARTCTGAGACTAAAACTGGAGCTAGCCACATCTAGGCTCCCTAAGGAGTTTAAAAGCAAGGGACTCCATGCTAAGCCTCATGATTCAACAAGAGGGTCTTCTTTACCCTATGTTTTCAGTCCTGTGTGAATCATTTTAACTCAATTATAAATCAGTTTTCTTTGTACATGTCTTCCATGTAAGTAATAGAATGAACTTTGCCATCAAACTTTGTTAAGTCATGCTTTTATGATATCACGTTAAAAACACTTTTGCTAATACCTTTGATGGTGATTCTTGAAGCAGTTTAAATCACTCATCCATGGCACTGGAGCATGCCCTGCGCCCTTCCAAACACTGCAGTCATTATGTGTCCTCTGCAAAACAAAGTGCTAGAGGGTCTGAGTGCTAAACCAGCAGCAGTTTCCACCAGACTTTTGGTAACACCTGCTTCTTTTGACCTACTCTAATGGTAATTTCCTAGGGAAGACACTGCTTCTGTTTTAGTAAATAAAAAGTACTTAAGTTTATGAAAAGGACTGAGTGATTTGACAGTGACATTTGACTGTGACAGATGTTGTGACTTACAAGGTATGGTCTAGTCTTTTACAGGCCCCCAGCCTTTAAGGCAGTGAGTGTGCATTAGCATTTCTACTGGAGACTGCAGTTGTAGCCCTGATTTCAGCTTCCATCCACATACCACAACTCGCTGTGTAATTTTTGACAAGCACCAAAGAAATAGGAGATACGTTCAACTGTGCCAAGCTACTAAACTCCTCTACCCTGTTTTTGTAAAGGTAATTAGTATGGTAAGACTCCTGGATCCACAGACAGGAGATACTTTCTTCCTGCAAAGAGCTCTCAGTGACACTTGCCTCAAACCATTCAATTTCTGCATAGACGATTTGCAGCCCTTTCTTCAATCCACTCTCCCCATCCATGGTGCTCAAAAAGCCAAGCGGAAAAATGCTCCGCTTGCCTCTGGGACTTGCCTTGCAGCCGYCTGGCCAGCTCCCGGGTGAAGAGCACGTTGGCCAATTTGCTGTGACAGTAGGCGAGGCCACGGTTGTAGCTCTTCTCTCCCTGGAGATCGTGGAAGCGGATTCGGCCTCCGTGATGAGCCAGCGAGGACACGTTCACGATGCGGGCTGGGGCACACTGCTTCAGACGCTCCAGCAAGAGGAAAGTCAAGAGAAAATGACCTAGGAGAGAGACAAAAGGTCATCCTTCTAGGAAGGGTTTCCCTGCTTGCTTGTATGTAGTATTTTATTGCTGCCCTCATTTTAAGTCCAGGAAAAATAAAATCCCCCTGAATTAATAGCAAAACTTTTGTGGGAGGCTTTAAGTTCTGCTTCTCATCTTCAAAAAGCTGGAGCTGTCACAAATGTCCCAGGTAAAACATACAGATAGTTAAACTGCAACCATAAGCAAATACACCTCATTGCATGTCCAGAACTCTGACCTTCCATCCTTCCCAGAAAAGGAAGAATGTGGACARGAAAATCTGAAAGCAGGTTTTTCCTTTGGCATTTTGCAACAGATAGTGCTGTTAGAAGATGATCTTTCTACGATTCTATGATTCTATAAAGAGTGCAAACATGATTCCACTGGCCTTACCAAGGTGATTGACTCCCAGATGCATCTCAAAGCCATCAGCAGTCTTAGAATAGGGGCATAACATTACCCCAGCATTATTAATGAGAATATGGAGTTCCTTCTCCTCTGCAAGAAACAAGAGACATCCTTAAAGAAGGAGACAGAGAATGCAGACAAGAAGGTAGCACAAATCACCCCTTGCTGTCTGAATTGCAGCCATATCACTTTAATAAAAGGGGTAAGTGTCCCACCACAAACTGGCCCATGGTCTCTGACCAGTCCCTGCTGTGAACCACAGTACCCAGCACATACAGAGATAAGCAGGGCACAAATTTGGCAGTGGCTAGAAGAGCAGACAGCAGCAGCCCTTGGTAAAATATTGTCTCTAAAAAGAAGGATCTAGAGACTGTACCTGCTAGAAATTTCTCAGCAAACTCCCGGATGGACTTTGTATCAGCCAAGTCCAGTCGTTTCACAATGATTTGCTGGTTCCCTGTGTCAGCTCGGATTTCACTGGCCGCAGCTTCTGCCTTTGCTATGTCTCTGCAGGCAATAATTATCCTTGCACCTGCAAGGAGGGGAGGGGGGAACAGGAACAGAAACTGAGATCACTGGAGCATACTGGGTGATCAAGGACAACAAGCAGGCTGACCATGCACAGCAATTACAAACAATATATTGTTTCTTTAGGGAACTGATATCATTTGGGAGTGGCTGGAAGAGACAAAGCCTTTCTTACTCCATTGTAAGCTACAATCCAGCTGAAAGATGCTTTCAGACCAAGAAAACGCACATCTTAAGTGCCTCTGTCCAGGTTCTCCCTGGTCAGAAGTGTGTACAACAACACTTGAATGATAGGTTTGTATCTGCCTCTATAATGTGAATGGCAAGCCAGGAGCACATAAAGGTGATGGATTCCAGCCAGAGTAATTTATAAATGGATTGTGAACAGGTAGTTTAATCTTCTTATTGGTCACTCAAATAACATTTACATCAAATTAGCTTGAAACGTGAATAACTAAAGCACACAGGGGTGGACAAATGATCTTTCCCAGCTTCATACAAGCAGAAGCCAGGAACTTCCCCAGTCCTCTCAAATCAATTGCAGTGCAAGGCATTTTCATGTCCCCAAAGCACATTTCTGGAGTTCAAGCAATGAAAACAGTTGAAGAACTGGTAACTTGCACTTCAGTGGTCACAGCCTCTGAAGGAATAACATTTGGGCTTATTTGAAGTAACTCTGGAACCCAGTACACTTTAATGTAAGCAACCTTCCTTAAGTCCAGAGAAGGGACTACTGTCAAGGCACGGCCATCCCGGCSGCACAGGGATGTCGGCTGACAAAGACTGCACTTGCCTCTTCGCGCGAGGTCTCTGGCAGTCTCCTTCCCGATGCCTGTGTTGGCTCCTGTGATTATCACCACCTTCCCCTCCAGCCGTGCTGTCGACTTACACCGTCCTCCAGCGACATACCGCCTGCAAGAGGGGAGGCACCAGTCACCTCTGCCTCCTTAGGGRGCTCGGGCCGGGGCTCAGCACCCAGAGCCGCGCGATTCGCCCCGACACTGGGGCTTACCGCCGCGCCCTGGGCCCCGGGCAGTCAAGAGCATCCTTACCTGAAGGGGCTGGTCACGCCCGTGTGGTGACAGGGACACCGGGAGCGCGCTCCGCAATGCCCCGCTCTTTCCTGAGCGCGGCCCCTCTCTCGGGCCCCGCCCTGCCCATGCGTCAAGTGGAGCCACGGCTCCCATTGGCTGTGGCCGCGCGTTCCGGGGCYTTTTGGCCAATGGGCTGCGCCGCCGCGCCCTGAGGAGAACTCGGGCCCCGCCCCCTGCCGCTCCTCCGCGAGCGCCCCGGTGCCGGGACAGAGCCCTGGACGCGCCGGGCGCTCCGAGGCGACGGGAGGTGCCGGGGCAGAGCCGAGCCCCGGCAGCGCCTCACTGTCACCGGGCCGCTGGAGCTGGGGACGCCTGAATGACTCCCGACCCCAGCCGGGCTGTAGAACGGGATTCCCGATGTTCGCACTCCCGCCACACACACACAAACGCACACACACACGGAAACGCGTCGCGCGCCGTCTCCGCGCCCCAGCGGTCTTCGCTCCGCGGGGCCGAACACACGCGAAGAGCCGGGGCCGCGCTCGGTAAGACGCACCTGATGTAGGGCGCTGCCACGAATAGGAAGACGGGGATGGAGACGGCGGCGCCCAGCGCGGCTTCCCAGCAGTTGAGCATCGCTGCCGCCTTCTACACGCACACTGCAGGCGCACGGGCTCCGCGCTCCCCGCCCCTCCACTTTGACTCTGCCTCCGCCCACAYGGACCCCGCCCCACCCTGCGACCCCGCCCGCACTGACCCAGCCTACGATCACACGGCCGCGCTTCTACCCGCKATACCACGCCCCCTCTGTGCCATGCCTTTTGATGTACGTGGAGCCTGGTGCACGGCGTGTGTCCCGTTCCCTGCCGGGGGAATGTCTGCGGCCAGCGAGTGGCCGGGCAGTAGCCCGCTGCTTTTTACCCCGGGCAGAGCACCGCCYGACCTGGGTCCCTCGGAACAGCCTGAAACCACGTTCCGCAGTTAACGAGCCGAGAAATGACTGCAGAGACAGCGTAGGGCTGTCGGCAGTGGCGTTCGAAACACGTTTTCACAACCCCACGCCGAGGTTCATGTAATTAATCCTCCCGTAGCGCATGCACATGATGTACAAGTGACAGGCGCCGAGACCCGGGTGCAGCGCGGTGGCAGCTGCGGCGGCTGCGGCGGCTCCGGGTCCCAGCGGTAGCAGGGAGCCCCGGGGCCGGACTGGCGCGGCCGATCCCGGGAACGAATGTCCCCGCACGGTACGGTACGGCCACCGCCCCGGGACTACAGCTCCCAGCAGGCAATGCGCGAGGAGGCCCCGGCGGCGGAAGCGCCGGGCGGAGCAGGGCCGGGGGCGCGGGGGCCATGGCGGGCCGCGGCTCCGCGTCCTCCGAGCACCTGGAGCGTCTGCACGAGATCTTCCGCGGGCTGCACGGAGACCTGCGGGGCGTCCCCGAGCGGCTGCGGGGCAGCGCGGCCGGTGAGACGGGGACGGGGGTCCGGGGGGAGGACACAGGCGGGGCCGCRCTTCCTCCGGCCGGAGCTACCCCGCCGGCTGCAGGAGTGTTGGGGTGCTTGTCATTAGACAGACATATTTGTGCAGTCGGGAGGGCAATGTCCCCTCAGGACTCCATGTGTGGGGGGATTTGCAGTCGTRGGGATTCGGGACGTGGCTTGCGGTAGGCGCCTGCTGGGAGGAGGCGGGTGCCTCTGCCGTGTGTTGTTTTCAGCTGCTGCCGTGGCCTGGTGGGCTTTGCAGCTGTGTGGCTTCATTTCCCTGGAGCTCCTCTCATCTGGCCAATTTCAGCTCCATAGCCAAGCACGGCCGTGCTGGGCTCACAGCATCGSTCTCTGAGGAGCAGTTGTTACCTGGATGTTATTTCGTGCTGTTTCTATTTGAACTGGAGTTTAGCCTGGAGAACAGGAGGCTCAGGGGTGACCTTCTCACTCTCCACAACTCCCTGAAAGGAGGCTGTAGCCCGGTGGGGCTTGGTCTCTTTTCCCGGGCAACCAGCGACAGGACATGAGGACGCAGGCTTAAGTTGCACCAGGAGAGGTTGAAGTTGTTCATTAGGAAGAATTTCCTCAAACTCCTCCTGGAATGAGCTGCTCAGGGAGGTGGTGGAGTCACCCCCTATGCTGGTGTTTAAGGAAGGACTGACTGGATGTGGCTGGCACTCAATGCCGTGATCTAGCTGACAAGGTGGTGTTTAGTCATAGGTTGGAATCGATGATTGCAGAAGTCTTTTCCAACCTAATTGATTCTGTGATTCTGTAACAACTGCAGTGCTTTGGGGATCTGGGGTTTTATTCCCCCTTTTTAAAATTTGTGTGTGTTGGACTCATGGTTAAAATCTCATCAGCAGAATTAAAAGCAGTTTCTATTGTCACAACTGCATTTGCAGCCTTGTTGGAGAAGGGTTGCATTTTGAATTGCTGTTTTAAAAGTCTGGTTTATGCACTGTGTATTCACAAAATAGAGAAAAGCTATCTGTCTAGCTACACTAAGTTGTATTAGAAGCACAACCTGATTTTATGGGTCCTCTTTATACCATACCTGTGGTTAAAATGATGGAACACTCTGCTGTAGGGATTTGGGCTTCTCATTCGGTTCTTGATACTTGGCATTTTTCGAAACCAGAAAGGGAAGTGATATGATGAGGAGAATTTTGCCAATGTCATTGAATGCTGCTGGTTAAACCCTTCCTGTGAGGAATGTAATASGTGGCTGTCATGAGCTGCTGTAGCTCAGCTCAGGTTTTGTGCCCCAGTGATGGACAGGGGCTGTCAGCCACGTTCTGCCATGGTATTCATTCTCCCACAATTGATCAGTTTTGTGTAAAATCTTAAAAACRGTTTGTTCAGATTATACCAGTCTGTTCTGGATAACAGACTGTATGAAAAGCTTTATGTCCTGTTTCTTACCTGGCTTCCTGTGTAAGAATGAATTCAATTCAGGGTCACAGCCCTTGTCATCAGCATTTCTAGAAAGTTTGGTACAAGAAAGGTGTTGAAACCCACAAATGGCTACTTGCAAATCTGTCTTAATTTCACTAGTGGTATGCAAGGATAAAAAGAATAAAAGAAGCAATACTCTTTCTGGTAGAAATCYTTATTTTCCTATAGAAAGGAACGTGATCAGTTTCTTGGTGAAGTAAAACCCTGTTAGGTCTCCTTGAAACTGGGGTAGTTTTGAGCCATAAACTCTGAGCCATGGGCTTAAATGGAGTATTTACAGGCAGCCATTTTTGCAGTGGTTGGGATTTTTTTTTCAATAGTTTGCAAATAATTGCAAGTTGAAATTTCAAACATGCTAAGGAATTTTAATACAACTATTCTATTATTTTTTTTCTGCAAAAATCCTGGTAGTATTTTTTGGAAAGTATTTCTAAGCAAGTTTAAGATTTAGGAATTTGTCTATCTGGTAGAGTCATTCCACTCTCCTAATGTGCTTTGGTTGCTTCTTGTACTTATGAGAAGGGTAGTATGTCTTTATTTTTTGAGTTATCTGATCCCAAAATATTCAGGAGGTGATAAAAGATACCTTGAAATACTCTTTTAAGATGATTGACGCACTTCAAAAACAACACAGAATCTGTAGTCCTTGGGACATCTTTGTGGGGCAGAGGTTTGGAAATGGAGTTTTTCTCTATATAAACAAGTTGACAAATTCTTAACTCTGGAAATACTCCTTTCCCCCCCCTTCCAAATTAGTTAGAAGGGGAAACCTGGATGAGCTTCAAATCATGTATTTTCCTCTAAATKAATTCAGTTAGCTGTTCTTTACTACTGAATCCCTTTCTAACTGACTGGAAATAAATCAGTAAAACGTTGGTGACTGTGTGGGTAACGTTGCCATAGCCCAGGCTCTTCTGCTGCATTTTAGGAGTTCCATCCACATGTTGTGAGTTGCATTTCAGTCCAGAGTGATGCCAACTGAACCAGTCAGTGTATTTTGCATCTACTGACCAGATCCAGCAGAACATTTTCAAGCCACATTCCTGGATTTCTTGTTGGCCTATAGACAAAAAGGTCTCAAGCTCTTGCTGTTGGCTTACCTAAACCATTCCATGATTCTGTGCCTTTTGGAACTGGCTGCATGTTGTAAGTGTAGCATCTTCTTAGTTGGCACAGGAGAAACAAAGCAGGGAAGTACTGCTTTTCCAGATCTACAATGGGTTTCCATGAGTTTGAGACAACAGTGGGTTKACGAGGGCACTGCTTGATTCAGATTAGTGAAATGACCTGTATGAAACAAATTACTGACTTCCAAAGGCTGTTRTTCCACAGTTCATGTCCATGATTTCAATTGAAACCCAGCTACACAAACAATGGCATCAGCACAAATGTATATGGTGGAAAATCATGGAGGAAGTTGAGGAGAATGTATTTAAGAACCTCATAAGTCAGCATTTYCTCCTGATTAAATTGGGATTTGAAATAGCATTTCCTGAGAGCAGCTGATGTGTAATATATTAACAATCACAAAGTAACTTAGTCTGTAATAATTCTGTGTGCTACATGAGRCCACAGCTGCTTCTTAGATGATGGRTTTTAGTTCTGYCTTAAGTTCTCTACAGTTCAKATTCTAGACTTAATCTGAATTTGAACTGAGAAGGAAAGCCTACAGGTTAGCCATGTTGTGTATGTGAGGAGCTAGTTACCAATGTTCTGAGTGCTTCAAATTTTTTCAATTTTCTGTTGAGACCTCAGTGGTTTAAAAGCTACTTCTTTTGCAGAGGTCTGTGTTTACCAAAAGGCATTATCAAGTGAGTTTTTTTACTGTGATGCCAATGGGGCTGGGTTCATATTTTTCAGATTTCTGATAGAATTTGGTTTCATTGGCACTACTCTACCACAGTCCTCTAGTATTCCTCTATAGTGCTTTTGCAGAGGCTTATAGAACATGGGGTTTTGCTCAGTTGAAATAAGGAAAGTTTCAGATTTAGACTTTTTTGATGGTGGATGTTAGAGAGATACGATAAATGCCTTAAGGTTTTGCTTAAAAACAGAGTAACAGGAGTGAAGCCTATTCTCTGGTCTCCAAAGCCCTAGGTACACAGTTCTGAGTAAATGACTGCCTTAACTAAAATGTCTGCTGTTGTTGGTTGATTCAAACAATTCGTATCATTCTGGAAGAGGGAAGCATTTGGGCTTTAGTCCGTGAACCTGAGATGATATCTTGATGGCATCTTTTATCTCGAACTCTAGAATGCTTATCCTGCCTGTCAGGTACTTTGTGACCCCAGGAATGCAGCATGCCAGATCTGCCAGGAACTTCAGGGCTCACTTGAAAATGTAGATTGACCTGATGTTTTGTTCAAACCCAAATTATAGTTTCAGCCTTCAGTAATCTTGCCAAGCAAAAAAAAAAAGAAATACATTTATGAGTTGTTTACCAATGTGTATCCTCTTTGCTGTTTTTTCACACTTAATGTTTTTCAACATGCAATTCTGTCAGTGGACACTGAAGGACAGTAGGTCAGAAAAATATTTGAAAAATTACTTCTTTTCTCTACAAGAAGCAGTGTTCAGCATTTGGAAGAGCGGTTTCTACTCTCTTGCCCCACTCCCTTCTGAAAAGTTGTCATAAGAACAAGCTCTTCCCATTTGAGATAAATTTTGACCCAATGTTCTGCAACCAGCCATCGGTGGCAGCTTCCTTGTTTTTAATGGATTGAGCTGGAGTTCTGTTATCATTTCTCTGTAGTTTGTCTGACATGCTGCTTTTACTTTCCCAGAGGAAAAGAAAAAACTGGTTCGAGAATTTGAYGAGAAGCAGCGTGAAGCCAATGAGACGGTGAGTGTGAGGCTTTCAGCCTTCCTGATGGTTGAAATATTGCTGCCTTGAAAAGGACAGTACTTACAAATGTTACTTTTTTACAAATCCTATTCTGGCAGGCAGGGTTCAATTACTTTCCTTTTGCTAATTGATCTGATAGGTGTGTCTGTGTTTGTCAAGACTGTTGTGTATACCTATATACATACATAAATACAGACAAATAAATATTCTTACTTGTGTTTCGAGGGGTTTTTGAGTTCTCGGTTTTGATACCTTCACTTTGTTGAAAAAAGAAGAATGATGGAGGTACAATTAAAATTGCTAGAGGTTTTAGRGCAGGCATGTAGGGAATCTGCTGCTTGGGGTTATTTATTGCCCTACTGTCTTTTTTCGTGTTGCTTTTAGCCTGTCTGATCTTTCTGTGGTAGTGTATAGGTTTTCTGAACAGCAGGTTATATGGAACAACACCAGAAAAGCCATGTGACTTGTCTTTATAAACAAGACATTATGAATTAAGCTTTCTTTTCATATTTCAATGTGCTATTTGTTAGGTTGTTTTTTAGTCACATGATGCTTTATTTGCCTAAATTACTTGGGTTTATTGACGGCTACCTTTAGCTGATACCAGAGATGTGGAGCTGATACTGTGAGAGAGCTCATGTTGGCCTACAGCTTTAAGCACTGCAAATTTGTTAGAACTGGCAGTAGAAGTTGATGTGAAAATTCATGCATCCGAAATCTCTGGGTTTGCAAATCCTAACTCCAGATGCCAAGCCTGGATGTTCAGTGTAAATTTAGTGGTGTGCCTACCTGTGCAATAGATCTGAATGAGGACAAGGCTGAGGTACTCATCAACTTGTTTACCCCAGTSTTCAATGGCAGCCTCTCTTCCCACACCTCTTGAGTGAGTGGGCTGCCAGGCGAGGACTATGGGAGCAAATTCCTTGCTGTAGGGAGGGGATCACCAAGTTCGTGATCACATGAGAAACCTGAATGTACAGGAGTCTATGGGACCTGATGAGGTACATCCCATAATACTGAGGGAATTGGCTGATGTAGTTGCTAAGCCACCGTCCATGGCATTTGAAATAGTCATAACAGTCATGTGAACTTACCAGGTGACTGGAAAAGGGGAAAAACTGTACCCATCTTTAAAAAGGTAGAAAGAAGGAACATGGGAGCTACTGACCTGTCAGCCTCTGCTCGGTGCCTGGGAAGGTCGTGGAACAGATCCTCCTGCAAGATAGCTAAGGCACATGAAGGACAGGGAGGCAAAGTTTGGGACAGCCAGCATAATTTCAACAAGGATAAGGCCTGTCTGACCAACCCAGTGGCCTTCTATGATGGAGTGRCTCCAGGGGACAAGGGAAAGGTGCAGGCATGATTTATCTAGGCTTCTGTAAATCTTTTGACATGGTCCTCCTGAGCATCCTTCTCTCTAAACTGGAGAGACATGGATTTAATATGTGAACTATTAGGTGRATTAGGAATTGGTTGGATGGTCACATCCAGGGGGTAGTGGTCAACAGCTCAGAGTTCCAGTGGACAATTGACAAGTGGTGTCCCTTGGGGTCCATACTGGGACCAGTGTTGTTTAATTTCTTCATTAGTGACGTAGATAGTGGGATCAAGTGTGCCTTCAGAAGATTTGCAGACAACACCAAGATGAGGGTGCACTAACCACACGTGAAGGACAGGATGCCATTTAGAGGGACCTGGACAAGCATGAAAAGTGAGCCAYGGAAATTTCATGAGGTTTAAGACCAAAAGCAAGCTGCTGCACCTGGTTCAGGGCAATCCCCTATATCAACACAGGCTGGGGATGAATGGATCAAGAGCAGCYCTGCTGAGAAGGGTTTGGGGGTGCTGGTGCATGAGAGGTTGGACATGATCAGCAATGTGCACTCCCAGCCCAGASAGCCAAAYRTGTYCTGGGCTGCATCCAGAGCAGCGTCGGCATCAGGGCCAGGGAGGGCATCTRCAAAGATTACAGGGATGGAGCACCTCTCCTATGAGGAAAGACTGAGATAATTGGGATTGCTCAACCTGTAGAGGAGGAGGCTCTGGGGTGACCTTATTGCAGCCTTTCAGTGCCTAAAGGGGGCTAAAAGAGAGCTGGAGAGGGACTTTGAACAAGGGCTTTTACTGGTGGGACAGGGGCTAATGATTTTAAGCTGACAAARGTTAGCTTTCGATTGGATATTAGGAAGAAACTCTTTACTGTGAGGGTGGCGAGGCACTGGAATGGGTTTCCAGGGAAGCTGTGRATGCCCCATCCCTGGGAGTGTTCAAGGAGAGGTTGGATGGAGCTCTGAGCAGCCTGGTCTAGTGGAAGCTGTCCCTGGCCATGGCAGGGTGGTTGGAAAAGGTGGTCTTTAAGGTGTCTTCCAACCCAAACCATCCTATGATTCTGTCTCGGTTGCACAGATATGATAAAAAGCTGATACCCATCCTATAAATGCTTAAATTATAAGGAAGTGAGAATTGCAAATTTTGAAATTTAGAGTGATGTTTCAGAGAAAAAAATCAAGCATTTGAGCTTGGGATTTTTTTTTTTAATTGAGGCATTATGTATCTGAAAATCCACCTGGGCTCAACAGCATTGGGGTAGCGTGACATACTCTTTACTAGATGGGGCATTGGGTTTGGGGTTATCCCCCTCAGCCAGTCTGATGCAAGCATGAAAATCCCTCCATCTGGTGCTGAGTTCTAAGTATGGCTGTTGCTAAGAATAGATTTGGTACTTTAAAAAATAAACATGCTTTCTTTTGTTAAAGCTACAAGAAATGGAGGAAGAACTGAAATACGCTCCTGTGCCTTTCCGCAACCAAATGATGAGCAARATTCGAGCATACAGAAGAGACCTGTCCATGTTCCAGAGAGAGATGAGAAGCACAGATCTGGGATTGGGTCGTGGAAATCAAGGCGATACAAAATATGGAATCTTYGCCACAGAGAATGAACAGAGTGTGAGGATTAGATGTAAATTTTACTGAACTTTGATGTGATTGTTTAAAAGCAGTATCACAGATGCATTGTTTACAGTGTTTCTACTTTAAACCACCTCTGTGCTTTTATAACTTCCTGTATATCTCTCTGCATGTAAGGTGAATATCTCAGGGAGAAGAAAGAACACCTGGAACTCAGAGAGGAGCTTTTCTGTTCTATAAGGAAGATAGGAATGTAATCAAAATGGAACTTGCTGAAAGTCATGCAATTAGTAGTTTGCATAAAATTTTGTACTGAACCTTTTCATTTAATCATTCCCCTACAGAAGTGAAAACACAAAAGTGATGATGCTTAATGAAAAAAGGTTAACTTAGCTAGTTTCAGTCTCCAAAACTAGCAGAATGTGAATCATGCRTTGTGTAGGTTCTTTGGTAGAATTCTCTTTTAAGTGATCTTAATTTAAATAGTGTCAAGAAAATATAAGGATTTATCCTCTAGCACTTTTTTTCACTGTGCTTTTGCTCCTACATGCAAAAAGTACACTAATTTCTGGTTTGCCAGGTATGACTAGAGATGTCTGAGCTAGTGAGACTGAATCTCCKTATTATCTTCAAAGTGTTGTCATCTATATAGAAAATTCATGGAGATGGGTTTTTCGTTTGTCTGCCTTAGATAAGAAAGGTTTGAGGGAGGCTCTTTGCTTAATATTTCCTTCTGCTGTAGCTCGGGACATTTTTGCATTTGATTCCTCTTGACTGATTGCTCTAAAACGTGAGAGCAGGGTGATAGATTAGACTTGCTGAATCTTAAGAAAACACTTTATTTTRAGCTACCTTTTGACCCCAAGGTCAGCAAACATTCCTTATCCTCTAGCCTAGGCTACTGGGATGAAAAGAGGATCTTTGTTACTTAGCAGTCCATCTGTTAGTGCTGTTTGTTCCTAATCCTTTTGACTGTAAACTCTTCATAATCTCCCTGGCAACCAACTGAAGTCACAAACAAGGCAGACTTTTAGATGTGAATGAAAGTAAAAGTTAGCATCTGGAAAAGAAAGATACTATTTTCATGTAAATGTTCTTTGATGGAAGAGTACATTGTTACAAAGACAGTTTTTTTAACTGTTTAAACTCTTTAATGCTGTATGCTTTGTTAAGATTTAACCAGATTTGGCCATAATCTTACGAAGTGAACAAGGCTCAGCCAAAATTAACCGGGCTACATCAGTTAACATAAGAAGCATGTACAGCTAATACAAATGGAGCCACATTCTAACCTTTTACTGTGTCAGAAGTCTAATACTTCTGTCTTTGTGCTTAATAGTTAAGCAGAYGTTATTTTTCAGACTAATCTGCAGTCACAGAGGGTGCTGCTTCTCCAGGGCACGGACAGCCTGAACCGAGCCAGTGAGAGCATTGAGCGCTCACACCGAATCGCTGCTGAGACCGATCAGATTGGCACAGAYATCATTGAAGAGCTCGGGGAGCAGCGGGAGCAACTGGAACGCACCAAGAGCAGAGTAAGCAGCAAACTSGGCATTGCTTTGAAACAATTTGACRTTRGTTTAGTGGGAACTGGATGCCAGTAATTACTCTCAGAGACCTCTCTAGGCATAGTAATCTGATTTATACCGACAAAATTCAGGCTGCTACATTTCTATGTTGTTTTCATGAAAGGAAAATATTTACTGTAGAACAGTCCAAAGCATGGTGGTCAAACTCTGCTGTGTCTGTGCAAGATTGGATATTAGACCTATAAACCTGCTAGAAAAAATAGCATTACTGAAAAAGTTACAGATTAGAAGACTGCTAAGGAGTTGTCCATCACTAGATTACTAGATTTTGCAAGCAGTTTGCAAGTTTTTGTAATTAAATTAAATTTAGTAGAAAAGTAATTATTAATTACCAGCTTTCTAATATTTGCAGGGAGGGAGAAAATGTTGTCAGATAAGATGCCTGTTCCTCATCCTTAGTTCAAGAAGCTGTGCTTCTACTGTGAGAGCTTCAAAAAGTAGTGCACTTGTTTTGTTTACACACATATGCAAAACTGAAAATTTGATTTTTGAAGTAACAAACTGATGAGATCTTCTGTGTATGCAAGGGATCCCAAGTGTAAAGCTTTTAGGTGAGTGACTTCAAGGGATGCTGAGTTTGGCAAATGAGCACACTCACCCAAAATAAAAAATAAAAAATACAGCTCTGCTCTTAAGTAGTTCTGTAATTTCTGTCAGAATTTGATTTGTTCCCAAATTTGGGTTGGAAAGCAGGAAAGGAAATTGATCTTAAGATTTGTAGGTATAGCTTTTGTCCTTTAATAAAAAATATTACAGTCCTTCAGGCATCTCAGTCTCTCAACACATTGTTCATAGAAGCACAGMATTGTTTAGGTTGGAAAAGGCCTCAAAGATCATTGAGTCTAACCCTTAACCMATCACTGCTGTGTTCATCCCTAAACTGTGTCTGTGACTTCTATTGTGAGCCTTTTATGCAGKGAATTGCGGAATTGTGTAAACCACACATTCCAACTGGAAGCAGACTTTCTTTTTACTTGTTTTTTCATAGTGAAGGTTGGAAATCTACTAAGCTCTGAAGGGACTCCAGTTTTCTTCCCAGCTTTGTYCAGTCCATCTCAGTAACATACAAGCATTTTTGCAGCTGAGGGCAATATTTTAAACTACAGAGGRATTGTGCAGACAGGTGGCTGTGATATAAGTGACCTGGCTTACACTTCACTTCCCTACAAGGTTTGGAAGTGGAATAGTGAAATCTTACCTGGAGACCAGTGCATCATGAATCCTGCCTGTGTCTGAGAGGCAACACCTTTTTTAGTTGTCTGTAACCTCACTTCATTACATGCTTCTTAATAGCTGACTGGGTATACTGGACAGTTCATTTCTGAGCATTATGGAGCTGAAATGGATTATCTGTTAACAGCTCAGAGCTTGTACCCACTGGGTCACTTAGACCTGTCAATGCAACACTGTTCTTTCTTTGCTAGAAACTGAGCRTKTCAAACAGTTTGAAATGCAATGGCRTGAACACATCAGTATCACTTTGTTCTGGTGTTAACAACTAGAATAATTAAATTTAATGAAAAAAGCCTACCTACTTTCTGATATTTGTATATTACTTAAAAAGGCAGAAAGTGGTTCCAAATTGCATATCTTTGTATGTATGTTAGGAAAAGCATACACAAAATTCTCAGTTTCTCTGTAGAAGAGAGGCAATGCTTCAGCTGGCCCTGTGGGTAGAAAACAATGCTGTCTCTCAATTTTGAGAGTACATGGTCATCACTGGTCCCATAATTAATTGCAACATTTCAACACCAGCTGCTTTCAGGTGCATCTTTCCAGAGCTGATGTGTGCTTGTTTAACTGACAAGTGACTTCTGTCTCTCTTCAGYTGGTGAATACAAGTGAGAATTTGAGCAAGAGTCGCAAGATTCTACGTTCAATGTCCAGGAGGTGAGTAGCATGACAGCAGCACGTGGCATTGGTTTTAGGGAATGTGTAAACAACATGTGTGCCCACATGSAGATGCTAATTTGTGTGTTCTCTTTGGTAATTAATGGAGTACAGGCAGTTGAACACTACTGAATGTGTGCTGCTCAGTCAGGATGATGTGGGGTCTTTAACCATCCAAACTGGTAAGGGCAGAAGCAAGATACAGGGGGTTGCTGATGGTGCCGTCAGATGCAACYTATGCAGGTTGGAAAAAGCTGTGACATAGATCACTGCAGCATTGGGCAGATTCAATRGCTGATGATACAGACAAACCTTTTTATTAGCCCCATACCAATGCTGTAGAGCAGTTAGTCCTRGGCTGGCCCATGAGACACTCTGAGCCTGACCACATCCTGTTTTGATGACTAAAGCCTTGGCTGCTTAAGTGGATTTGCAGTTCAGGTATATTGTTTAATTAGCCTTAAAGAGCCAGTTCATAGATTGTATTCTCAATAGGTACTTATCTCCTAACAATCTTTCATTTATGCCCATTTCTAAAGGAAGTAGTGGTAAGTGTCTAGTTTTCAACAGTAGAAGTACTTAATTATTTTAAGATTTTAGTTTTCCTTTAATCACATAGTTCCAAGTAAAAGCACCACAAAAAAGGTTTTAGCATAGGATTTCAACTATTGTTTTCCTCTTTGCTTAATTGAATGAGTAGGCACACACAGTGCAATTATCTGTCTTCTGTGGGGCRGGGGAAGAGGAACAGAACTGCTAATGATGATGAAACAGGAGATTTKAACAGCATTTCCAGGAAAACATGAGTAGTGAAGTACTGAGTTTGTTCCTTTCTGCTTGTTAAGAGCTGTTGGAAAAGCACATTGGGGTCTTGCTGAAACATGGAAGATCAGGATCTGGATTTAGAATCTGCTTGCATAAACAACGTGGAAAAACTATATCTTGGATTTTTATTTTTTAATCCTAGAGTAACCACTAATAAGTTGTTGCTGTCAATTATCATCATCCTGGAACTGGCTATCCTAGGAGGTGTGGTCTACTACAAGTTCTTTCGCAAGAAATGAACCTTCCTGACCAAGATGAGCTTTTCCACTGATGAGGAACAGGATGGGCTGTCTGCTCTCTTTGACTGTCTGAGAGTTGAACTGAGTCACGAGACAGCACAYTCAACTGAAACTGTAGTGACATTTGAAAGACAGAGAATGAGAGTAAAAAGAAACAGACTTGAACTACTGGTAAGATTAATAAGAAGGTAATAAATATTTTATTGTCTCATTTTGTATATACTTAACTAAATGAATAAATCTTGGTATGTAATAAAGTAGCCGCTGATCAATGGAAAAACTAGTTTATTTAAAAATTGAGAAGTTAACAGTATTTGCCAAGTGTTGACAATCTATCAACTCAAGTGCCTCAGCAGAGCTCTGTAATGTCCAGTATACCCAAGGCTTTGGGTCCTTAAATCCTCACTTGCTCTTCACTGTCAGATTCATCTGGAGAGCTGGGTGTTGGGAGTTCATCAAAAGCGATGTGTGCCCCTTCTCTTGTCTGCCCAAAGCACGTTGCTATCACGTCGACTGCAAGGTGAGCAGTTGCTTTCACTGCCTCTTGAGAAGCTCCAAGCAGTGGATTGACTTCAACCATATCTACAGCTGAAAGCATTCCTGTGAAAATGATTTACAGCTTTGTTACTCTGACAAAGGGTACAGTCTTCAGCAAGGTTCTGTTTTCAGCCTTTTATTCATTGCCTCAAGTCTGGTATTTGGGTTTGTGACCTACTCTACTCCTTAGACAAGTAAGATTGGCTCTCGARTTAGGGATGAGATTACTGTTCTCAGATGCATATTCATGTATTTAATTTGGTTCTTTCTTACATGATCRCTACCTCACTCATTCATGCTTTCAGCATTCAGGAAAAATGTTTGATGTTCCATACACACTAATGAGAGAAGTGTTTTTTAAGCCCAGTCCAAATATGAGGGGATATAAAATAGCCTCACCTCATATTTTTCTGCCATCTTATTCATGATTCTGTTTGACTGTTGTCTGGTTGGGATTTTTTTTACCTTCTTTTACTCTAATGTTTAAACACATTAAATAAAAACTCAATGGTGTAAAATGAAAAGTCCTCATATATTGAGTCAACTGYAGTATATTTTGTGAAAGCTTGATTTGTTAGCCTTGAATCCTAGAATGGAACTTCAAACTATTTACAATTGTTTGCACCCATTTTTGTATTCCAGATGCCCATTTTTACATCTCACCTCATGTGTTTAGGATTAGGGAACAGTATTACTCATTTTGACAYTAGTTGTTAACACATTGTATTTTATTTTCTTTTTCTAAGTTGAAGTTGTTGATGGTTAAGTTGCTTGCAACACCAAGGGACTTGCCCAACCATAGGACTTCTTTTTCCCTTTCTGAAGGTTGAATTGACTTTGCAGGCACCTTTGTTTTGACTACACTTACTATCTATTTGCACAGGAAAAACATAACCACTATGAGCTCTGTGTAGTTTGTCATGTCTTTGCTTAGCCCTGTACTGCTGGTCAGCTCTTACCTGTGTTGTGTATTTCCTCTGTGATGTACATGCCTTCTCTGTACGTTAATCCTCCTAGAACAGGAGTCCCCGTTGCTGGAGCCAGTGAGGGATCAAAAGCATCAATGTCAAAACTCAGATGAATTGGTCTCTGTCTCCTGAGACAGGATAAAACAAGAAAAGCAATGTTAGAGCCTTAAACTTTTTCTAGTGCATTTCTTACTGTCCAGGCCAATCAGCAAAGTAGCATCAAGCTCCTTGAACCATATCTCATATACTTAAAAAGAAGTTCCTTCTAAATACYTTTGGACTTTGAAACATCTCATAGCTCAGAACACTTCCYAGTACACACTGGGAAAACAGAGGTTTGTCTTTCTAGCCTCAYTGAGCATCTGTTCAGTGAGGATTTGGTTGAAGTTAAATACTTTTTAGTTCAAACCATCTTAATTGGTATTTGCTACCTTAGTGGGAAAATGTAGAGAAGTGTAAGATACAATCCAGCCTTCTCTCCTTTTATACAGAAAGCCAGTCAAGGATTTAATTGACAACTCATCAAGCAGTTTTCAGGTTAATAGTTAGAGGCTGCCTCCAAACCCTGCCATGTGGCCAAGCTGATGAAGCAGTAAAGGATAATCTTAAACCTAAAATGTTAATTACTTACTGTATTATCTGCCAACTGATGACAGCTTAATAAACTGGACACTGCTTGTCACTCACATGAGTTTTTAAGTAGCAGACTGCACACTTCCAGCTTACTGCAGATGCTCAGTAGGGAAAAGCATCTGGATTACCATCTTCTTTAGTTGGCACAGCTGCAGCTAGGAAGGGTGAGCACACCTTTAGAAAACAGCAGCAWGCAGCACAGGTTCTAACCTGTGGTGAGAGGTTACCCTTTCTAATTGACCCTCTCCCTGCTCCTAGACTAGCATGATTTGCTCCCTGACCTGGTTCCCCAAACTTGAACAAGGGTAGCAGAGGTGGCAGTAGTGAACTGCAGTTAAGGAGTTGTTAAAGTGAACCTTACCAGCTGCACTGGCCGTAGCAGCCACCATCAGGACACTGTGTGCAAGCACGATCTGAGGAGGAAGCCACCTAATCCCTCCACATCACATACCAACAGCTCAGTTCAAGTTAGTGTCAAGTTGCTGTATGTATTTTTAAAAGTATAATGTGCATCCTAAACTCTGAGTTGTTTCAAACATTTTGTCAAACTGCAGAAAATGCAAAATTACTTAACGGAACCATCAGAGCCACAACTGTAGTGAGTGATGTCACCTGTCCTATAGCTTTCAAACACAGCTGCCAAACACTGTGAAATTGTTCCAGTGCTAAGTGCTGAGACCTTCCTATGTATTGGACACTATCACAGTTCTGTATGGCCACCTTACATCAAGTGACTTTCACTTAAGTAACTTTCAGAAAAGCAGATGTTCAACAAGAGTTGTTTAAATTAGATAATAGTTTGTTACCTGCCCATCAGTTGTTCAAATGTTCTTTCCATAACTTTCTGAATTCCAAGGCGATCAATATCCCTCATGGAAAAATACTGGATATCAAAGTTCTTCAGAATATAGCTGTTAAAATAATTTTTTTAAAACAATCATTACCAGATTAAGCTGGAATCTAGCAACCCCTTAAGAACATGATTTCAAGCTCATTATTTCAGCCTTTACAAAAATTGTTTAATCTAAACCAACTTACTACTCGGCAGGATCCACGTCCCTCAAACCGATGTACACAATATCAGCTGCTGAAAGGCAGGGTTTTAGCCAGGAAAAGCCGGGAAGTTGTGGTACCTGCAAGCAAAGATTTGGTATTCCGTCAGTTTAATGACATACGTAACAAAACGGTATTTAATACCTCTTTGAAAACTTTGTATTGATTTATAGCATCCTTTCTCTCTGTAAATTGAGWAACTTCTTCCCTTGAGGGTTTGGCTGATATAATCAGTCCCTACCTTCATTCCTACATTCAACTCTGATAAAGTGATACAACTTTATCTGAGGTGCATGTTAATGGATGAAGGTTTTAACTCTTCTACATTTTCCAGTTTGAAAAGGAGGAGGAATAAAAAGCCCAAGTACACAAGCAATAGGTAATTCACATCAGTGAGTGCATGGAATGATAGATACCCAGATGCAGATCACTTACACAGTGCATTTAATGGTGATGCTCTGTAACTTACCCAGTACATCATGCTTAAGTGGAAGAATAAAAACCAAGGCACCTGTATCTTTTTAGGAGAACTACCAAAGTCATGCAAACCTACAAAAACAGTATTAAAGATGGATAGATTCAAAGTAGGAAGTTGAAAAAAAAGAAAAGAGAAGAAAAAAGCAGGACAAGAAGTTGGGCCTCCGCAGTGGGCTACACTGTGCTGGCTTTTAATGCAGAATTGAAGAGAGCGGGTCTAGGACAGCAACTGAAAGATTACGAGGCCATAATTGTTCAGCTTTGGTAATTAGGTGATCACAGTATGCAATTATAAAATTGCATACTATTCATTCAGTTAGCAATAGGTACTAATTTTAAGAGTGATTGAAATGAACTAATTTCTCTTCTTTTCCTTGCTCTGAAAATGGCTAACCCAGCCTAGCTGTCAAACGGCTAGGTTTTGTTTCCCTCTTAGACGTCTCAATTACTAATTATATTCTAGTTACAATACTGGATTTTTTTAAAGGTTAACACACCCATAGTTATATTTAATTACATTTGGTTAAATTAGCACAGATTATAAAAGTATTTTTTACTCTCAGGCAATGACCCAAAATTTTTCCAGTCATGAATTAAGAGGGGTAAATGAATTGGAGAACACTAGGAAAAATAATTCAGGTTTYAGAAATGAATTCTGTAAAACACATCACCACACCATAAACTGAGTATAGTATTGATAATATTGTCAAGAACTCTCCAGTATCAATGATTCAGTAGCTTTAATAATGCAAATTCAATTACACTTCTTTGTAAATAAATAAAACTGAATGTATTAACTGCTTTTGGCAGGTTCTGTCTTTGCTTTGTTGTAAGAGAAAAGGAGTTGCTGACAGCAAAGTTAGAGATGCAGGCATTTTCATGGGAATGTATCAAGAGCAATTTGTGAGTTTGGATGGTTCCAGAAGCCCTGAAGCAGTCAGGAAAGGAGGATAATTTTTTTGGTCACACTATTGACTCAATTGCTGCACTGCATAAGAGTAACAGAGGGAACCACGTGCACTTGCGCACACTTCAGAGAGTCAGAGGGAATTAGCCAGACAAACTGTTGTCAGAGGCACATTCTGCTACTGCTAAAGAGCTGTTAAAAATGTATATTGTATCCAAATTCCTACTGCAGAAGCCTCAGCTGTTCACTGCACAAGTGCTGCAGGTCACAGTGCAGGGTGACAGAGCCCACRGCTAAGTCAGGAAGGGTACAYAGGCCTTAGCTCAACCCACTGTTTAGCTGCTTGACAGCAGTGAAACCAGGCAGGCCATGCACGTTCCGTGTGCCCCAGCAAACAGACCTTTTTGATAATTCAACCTCTTTCCAACACAAAGGCTATCTCTTTAAAAGCTCACTGTAAGCAGTTACAGCTCTTCTGATTTGTAATATTTGCAGTGGAGCCAATGCCAGAGCAGCCAGTTAGGAGAGATCATGCAGGAACAGCCCCTGTCATCCCCAAGGTTGTCAAAACATGGAACAGCCAAACTAAGCAGAAGTAGCGTGCAAGGTATGCAGGAACCAGCTGTTCTGGAGGTGAGCTCAGCTCGGCTCTCACAGGCTGGGCTGGGGGGAGGTTCCTGCTCAGCTGGTAGCAGAGTTGCCATTGCCCAGCCTCCAAAACAACCCTGCTCATGACATAGGAGCAGCACCACAGTCAGCTGCTGTGTGCASTGGGTGGGGACCCTGGCTCACTGCGCAGCCGCCGAGGGTGCAAACACAAAGGAAAGCTTTTTCTCATTCTCATTTCTAGGTGTGTCTGGATCTATGTTTACATATGTGTATGTTTGTGGAAGTTGTATGCATGTATATGCACATGTACATACACCATAAATACATATTTGTCCTTGTACCCTGACAGAAAAAGCCTGCATTTGCAGCAGGTAAGAAAGTACCTCACATAGCAATGGTAGAATGCTTTGAGGATGCCATGTAGGATAACTGTACCATCATGATACTTACTTTATCTTGAAGCTCCCTGAGGAGAAAGGAGAGAGGTTGTCCATGGAGGTTTCCAGACTGAGTTGTGAGAGGCGTGTTAATATCAGCGTGTGCATCCACCCAGATCACTCCAAGGTGTGGGCACTGTCGTGCATGGCCACTGACAGAACCAAGTGCCAAGCTGGAAGTACAGTAGCAAAGTCTTTAGTCACCATTTCTCCTTCRGAACAACTACAAGGACAATGGGAAGTGTCTGCAACTTCAGTCAGCCACGTCATTACATTTCCACACATCAGACATCTGTGACAATAAAGGGAGCACCCATATAAACTGCATGGCATGCTGCTGYTGTGATTCCAGGAGTCCAAGTAACTCTACAGGACTGCAGCAGATGTGACAGATAAAGCCAACAAGCCAAAGCTCTTTGCTGTCTCACTTCCCACACACTTAATCTTTACCTGCTCTAGATCCAAATGCTCTAGAAAATCTAGCCTGCTATTCACCCATTTCTTATTCTAGTCATAACACCTTCCCCCCACAATTCCTGCTTACATGCCCTACCTTCTTCAACTAATTCTCAGACCAAAGGTTAGTGAAAAAGAGGAAAAATATTCACATTATAAAGTCTATAGCAAGATTGTCTGTCTGCAGACATTACAAACTCGTCCTAAGAGGTGACAGGCAAAAGAGACACGTCACTAAACATACAGCAATAAWGAAACAGAGCAGTTCCTCTGAAGTAAGCTGATGACACAAGCTTTCCCAAACAGGAAAACCACATTTGTATATCTACAGATCACAGTCCAGTCTGGAACTAAGCAGTACTATYTTAGAAGGTCAGGTTTTTGTAGCTGTCTTCTGTGTTCCATGCTAAAAGCCCCTCCCTGTGGTATTACCAGGAAATTACCCCAAGTTGTTARCCCAGTCCTCTTTTTAAAAAAAATTAAATTCTTGCACTCCAAGTGTTCAACCTCAGCATGAACCCCTGTTTTTAGGTCAGCTCACCTGTGATCACCTCCTAAGGTCACACATCTGTGTCCGGCAGCTACTGCTCTGCTCACTGCATCAGCCAGCATCTGGGTGGCCAAGCCCACCGACCGCGGGTATAAAACCAGGTTGTTGTACCGTTCATCGTTGGGAACTTGAGTGAAATTCAAATCTCCAAAGTCATGCACTTGGCATCCTGGGAACACAGCAACAAAAGCAGAAAGTGACTTATTTAAACAGCTTCCCAGGGAAACATTCAAAATCAGAAAATCGGTTGGGCAAGGATGAAAAGAACAACAGGAAAGGAATAGATCCATTTGACCATTTGCACGGGATGCAAGCTGTCACAGCATTACAGATTAGAAAGTTGAAGACAATATTATCATCTTAAGCCAGCTTTAATTTAGCTATAAGCTATGCCAATAATAAAAAGTCACTTAGAAAATGATTGGTTGGGTTTTWTTTAAATTATTTCTTGATGATTTTTAACAAGAAAAATTATATTGCATTGCCATCTTCCTTYCCATTTAGACAGATTGTATACAGCCTCAAATGAGCTCAGTTGTTGAAAGATGCCTGGGACTACACATTTCACTAACTATACTTGAGTCCTAACAGTTATTTTACACTTTTAAGGCCCCCCCAAATCCAGGCACAAAAGTGCCAAGTAACCAGTAATAAGATTTTCTTCCAGTACTTCCAAGCAACTCCATGGGGGATTCACTAGTCCTTTGTTAAGAGAACCCATCCCTTTTTTCAACATAAGATAATTCTAGAAGGCATTTTAATTCTGGGACTTTGATCCCAAAMCTCTTTGAGATGGTTTCATTGCCAGTTACAGCTTGATTGGGTGTTGAAGCCTGAGAACATTCTGGATGTAAAACTCAGCCTTTCGTCTTAGAGACTCTCACTTTGAGACAGGCTGCTCCCTGCAGGCTCTAATGAGGGCAGTAAAGGCCCCAAGGTATTTACAGCTACACCAACAGTGGCTTAATAAGACCACCCTGAATACCAGCCATGCCTGGCCCCTTTGCTCCTCAGAATCACTGCAAGAGAGTAGGTTTGTTTGCAATTCAAAGCATCCAAGCCAGAGCTTGACATTTTGCCTTTAGCCATCCTGTGCTTAATGGGGCAATAGGAAATTTTAAGGCAAGTAAGTCAACATGAAAAAACAGCCTACTTGGGGCTCTGTGTTCCTGCTWAATTTCCAGTAAGCCATTAGTCTAATGTCTAGGAAACTGGCTCTGTGAATTTGTTTGGTGGAAATTACATAGAAGTATAGTTGAGAAATGCATGACTATTTTATAACTTTAAAAGGAGTTACTGGTGAAGTGAATAAAGGGAAGTTACTGAGTCACTTGTGCAAATATGGTTCTGGGAAATGGGCAAGCATATATTTTATAKCAGGGACACAGGTGGGCAGATGTTGGGGTATTTGCAAATGAATGTCAACTGAGCACAGCTATTTGAGGAAGGATTAAATGTCTCAGCAATTCAGTGAGAAAACACATTTGCAGGGACTTAAAGCAGTAAGCAGGACCATGACATACCACTCCCTAGTTTTTAGAAGGCAGCACAGGCATKCAACAGCATTTTTTTCCTCCCATAGACAATACCTAGTTAAGCAACAGGATGAAGGCTCTGGAATTTTGTTCAKATTTGAACAAAATCTGTATGATCTCTACATTTCCTACCCTTTGTTTTATTCTGCTGCTGTGCAAAAGCAGAAGAAAGTTGTGTGTCCCAGGACACATATTCAATAAATATTAAAAGTTTATTGGGTTTTTTTTTTTTTTTTTTTTTTTTTTTTTTTTTTTTTTTTTTTTTTTATTTGTGTCATTCTGCAAGGCTACTTCTACCACATATGCACACTGATACACATTTTGTGGAAGTGCATGAACATGCCTGGCAGACAAGTTTTGGAAATAAGACTTCAATGGGTATCAAAACCTTTCAGAGATGCTCTTGTACAAGGGAGTAGTACTTTTGATCTAATAGCTCTGATATCTGTAGGAAATAAATCTGCACTTGGGAGCCATGKACATTGCAGGACAACACATGGAAGAACAGACTACAGCTTAGGTTTTATTCTCTCCCACAGGACTCAGAAAAACATCACAGTATTTTTACCCATTAAAGGATGAAAAACAACTTTTCCTTTAACTATCACAAAGCTCCTCCTTCAGATGAGTATAAAATAAAGATTTAACCATGCAATCTTTCATTGCACTTGAAGGAATTGGTTCAAATTCTCCAGGTTCTGCTCAAGGCAGTCAACACACGGCAGATTCTAGCAAGTGTGTTTAGACAATTATCAAGTGTTTACAAATTTCTACTTCACCATGCCCTCCTCTGAGTTCCCACGCTAAGGCAAAAAGACTTGTTAAACTTTATTCAACTTCTGAATAAAAAAAAGCCATTTGTTTCTTAGTACCATAGCAGTTTTATACAGCTTAACACTTTTGTGGTCCAGAATTCTGTGACTTGTCCACTTTCTGAACACATGGTACTCTTATAATTCCCTCTAATTATTTTTACAGAAAAGCTTGATGTCTATTAAAGACAATAGATGCCTTCAGTTTTTGTTACCATCTTCTAAAGTTCAGGTAGGGTTCATGAACCTTGTGGCAGTTTCTTTTCTCAGCTTTGTCTCTAGGTCCATTGTACTTGCAGAGGACAGCTCAGGTTTCCCAGGATGAGAAGGAATGTTTTCAGCTGACTATCCAAAAGCTATCTGATTAAGATACAGTTAATCTCAGAAGTACATGCTAATCCAATACTCAAAACATTAATATCTTCTCTTACTATTATTTCTTTTAATTGTGCTTAATGTTTTGAAAAGTATGATTAAAAGACCTTAGGGCAAAGGGAAAGATTGGAATAAATGGTACACGGAGAAAGAAATTCACAGTACCTAGATAAGCCTTGTATCCCTAAGCATGGGAAGCGTATGTGCACGTGTACACAGGGTTTTGGGCAGACCAGATATTGCAGATGAAATCAACATGCACATTTGTCTTAATGTTACTGAACAAACAGTTTAATACATCAATAACTAATAATTTGAAATAGCTTCTATTTAGAATCTCAGATATTAGTCTGAAACTTAAAGACCTAATTGGTTTTCATTTCATCTGCCTGCTTGSACATAGATTTAAGTCTGCTTCTTAAATCAAAGCTCTCTCAATTACACTATTTTGTCCAACAGAGAAATTGCTCAATGGATAGACATGCTGTACTGCAGTGCAGTCTGGTGGATTTTGCTGTTATTTGGTCATTAGTAAAAGATTACATAATCTACCTCAACAAGCAGTATCCACTTACTTTTTGCTAGATATAATTTAGATACTAATGTACTTTGCACAGAAGCCAATAGTAATTTCCCTACGCAGATTTAGAAAATTTTCTTCCATAAAAACARTCAGATCATGTCAGGTGGCATTTAACTGGAAAGCATCTGAGCAGCAGCAGGGAAAGCCTCCCTCCCATCCTCCTCTACTAGGAAATTGCACCAGCAACAGAAGCAGCAAAGTGATAGTAGGAGATTCAGCTTTCCAAACCCAGGCTGTTTGCTGATATTGCCCAATGGCACACTCACATAATAAATAAAACAACTCTCCGAGGCAGCAAATGGGAATTAGAAGAAAAGCACATGGGATAGAAATGGTCTATAACACTGCCAGTTTACACTGGGTATTTGTGAACTGGACATTAAAAAAAAAATTCAAAATTAATGAAAAAAGTAAACCCTCTTCTGGGTGAACTACTGTCAAAAGAATTTGGAAATCCCAGTTATTCAATCTTATTTCATACTATGCTATATAAAGCTGCTCACATGAATGCACCACTCCTGAAAACTGTTTTCTGTGATTACAATCCCATTTACTAAATCATCACAGACACTGAAAGCCCTTCTGGTAAACTGTGACTATTATGAACAATGTTTATAGGCAAACTTAACATTATACTTCCCATGAGCAAAACAAAGCTACCATCCTTCTTTTCAGTCTTTTCTTCTTTTCATAAGCCAACCCATTGGCTTATGGTGGGGACTTCATAATCCTCTCTCAGAGCCACTGTCAAAATGTTGCACAACAGCAAACAAATTACTCAATTCATTATGACCAGTGCATTCTGAAGATTGGTGTTTTGTTTTTTTTTCTTTTTTTCCAAGACAGATTTTAAACCCTCCAGAGTTGTCCAGGGCTTTTGTGTGTCACAACAATACAAAGATCATATGTTTGTTTTACATGAATAGGAGGTTAGGCTAGCAAGTTCCCACTGCAGGAGACAGACTTCAGCAGCCTAATTCAATCATAATGTTCTTGCTTGGAAGTTCATTACACAGCGTCTACTTCTCTTTAAATGGAATAGGTATCTGCTGGAAGAAATCTACTGAATACAGATATTTGATGGCTTAATAGACTTCTGTCAGTTTTAAAATTTCCCTTCCTAAAAGGCAAGTGCTTGTCTGAGCAATTCCCAGCCTTTCATTTGAAATTTTGAAAGGTCTGGTTTAATACAAAGTTTATGTAGCTGTACATATTTTAAAGGCTTTACCTCACACAACAGAAACAAGCAAACCCAATTCCAACTGCTCGCCCAAGTTGTCCCTTGCATAAAAGGTGCTAAAAAATACTTCTCCAACCCCAAATCGAGCAGCCACTTCATTCCCCTTTAAAAACTGCTTATAWTTTTAATCTCTGAATGAAATTCCGTGCACATGACCTTAAGAGTTCTTCAAAAACGTCAGTATCATGTGTTGGGAAACATTTGCACTGTAGCTTGCATCAGAGACAAGGGTGTAGCTATTGCSTCTGCCACGCCACCAACAAACCCTGCACAAGTTCTAATTCCCTTCAAATAAACTTAACCCAGGCACAGTTCCTGATAACAAGAGCACAATGGTGCATTTACAGCCATAAGGAATTAATGCCAAAACAGCCCTCCTCAGCAACCAGCACCTTGTGCTTTAGATTGTTACAGAAGTAAAGAGTACATTAGGCAACCTAGACACGTAACTGGAACTGGAGGAAGGGAGAGAAGAATAGAGATTACTGAAGTTCTCTTCCTCCCTCTTACTACCTGCAAGAAACTAACATCCGGCCACTTTACTTCTTCATATACAAATGAAAAATCTGGGTTTGTGGGGGCTTTTTGTATTTAACTTCAGTGCTTCATTCCCTACTTTTCAGC